AAGACGAGGCTACAACTTTCCTCAACACGGTCGTTAGCACTAATACTCTCGGTATTGTCTCTTCATCTCGACCTCTTAATAACAGACAGTTTTTATTGTTGCTAAGATAATCAAAATGATGACTGATACACGAGCCTTGGCACCATGAGCACAATAAGAGAATGTTGTATCAACATCCGTGGTCTCAACCTGTTCAACGTCTTACCAGAGGATATCAACAACACTGCCTGGACAAGTGTAGAAGCTGAGAAATAAGACACTTGTTCAACACTTGGGTGTCTTTATTCTGGAACGTTTCGCCAGCCAGTGGCTTCTTCAACCCAGTGTAGAGACACGGAACCCCCCATCAGACGTTAGGTGCTGAACACACCTCCAGAGAATCTCCCGAATAGAGATTGAACGAGGCACTGTGCCCTTTTCATAGGGCTGTAAATGATACACCACTTGACATGATGAATGCTCACGGTGCCCCTGCCATAGGGCTGTAAACGGTACATCACTTGTACAAACTCCTACACTCCTTCGGGCACCACTGCCGGGTCACCACATTGAGAAAACCCGGGCCAGAACCCGCCCTGGCAAACCTACATGGACATGAACATGGTAGACGAGGAGTGTGAAGTAATCAATCCCTCAGCCTACGCTGCGTAATGTTATATGTCTACGATAACACACGTCACTATAGCATTGCAGTATGAGATAGTGGTAGTAGAACAGAGCAGAGTAGCGCCATAGTGGATTACATTGCTGTTTTGTATACATTGGATAATTATTATACTTTTAAACTTTCCCGCACTGACAATTATGGTTCGTCCTCTCAGTGGGAGATGCAGTATTTATTTTTTTTTTCAACAAGTCGGCCGTCTCCCACCGAGGCAGGGTGACCCAAAAAAGAAAGAAAATCCCCAAAAAGAAAATACTTTCATCATCATTCAACACTTTCACCACACTCGCACATTATCACTGTTTTTGCAGAGGTGCTCAGAATACAACAGTTTAGAAGCCAATATCCCAAACCCCTCCTTTAAAGTGCAGGCATTGTACTTCCCATTTCCAGGACTCAAGTCCGACTATATGAAATAACCGGTTTCCCTGAATCCCTTCACTAAATATTACCCTGCTCACATTCCAACAAATCGTCAGGTCCCAAGTACCTTTCGTCTCCATTCACTCCTATCTAACACGCTCACGCACGCTTGCTGAAAGTCCAAGCCCCTCGCCCACAAAACCTCCTTTACCCCCTCTCTCCAACCCTTTCGAGGACGACCCCTACCCGCCTTCCTTTCCCTATAGATTATATGCTTTCCATGTCATTCTACTTTGATCCATTCTCTCTAAATGATCAAACCACCTCAACAACCCCTCTTCTGCCCTCTGACTAATGCTTTTATTAACTCCACACCTTTTCCTAATTTCCACACTCGAATTTTCTGCATAATATTTACACCACACATTGCCCTTAGACAGGACATCTCCACTGCCTCCAACCGTCTCCTCGCTGCTGCATTTACCACCCAAGCTTCACATCCATATAAGAGTGTTGGTACTACTATACGTTCATACATTCCCTTCTTTGCCTCCATAGATAAATTTTTTTTGACTCTACATATACCTCAACGCACCACTCACCTTTTTTCCCTCATCACTTCTATGATTAACCTCATCCTTCATAAATCCATCCGCCGACACGTCAACTCCCAAGTATCTGAAAACATTCACTTCTTCCATACTCCTCCTCCCCAATTTGATATCCAATTTTTCTTTAACTAAATCATTTGATACCCTCATCACCTTACTCTTTTCTATGTTCACTTTCAACTTTCTACCTTTACACACATCCAAACTCATCCACTAACCTTTGCAATTTTTCTTTAGAATCTCCATAAGCACAGTATCATCAGCAAAAAGTAACTGTGTCAATTCCCATTTTGAATTTGATTTCCCCATAATTTAATCCACCCCTCTCCCGAACACCCTAGCATTTACTTCTTTTACAACCCCATCTATAAATATATTAAACAACCATGGTGACATTACACATCCCTGTCTAAGACCTACTTTTACCGGGAAGTAGTCTCCCTCTCTTCTACACACCTAACCTGAGCCTCACTATCCTCATAAAAAGCTTTTTCAGCATTTAATAACTTACCACCTATTCCATATACTTGCAACATCTGCCACATTGCTCCTCTATCCACTCTATCATATGCCTTTTCTAAATCCATAAATGCAATAAAAACTTCCCTACCTTTATCTAAATACTGTTCACATATATGCTTCAATGTAAACACTTGATCTACACATCCCCTACCACTCTGAAACCTCCTTGCTCATCCGCAATCCTACATTCTGTCTTACCTCTAATTCTTTCATTATAACACTACCGTACACTTTTCCTGGTATACTCAGTAAACTTATTCCTCTGTAATTTTTACAATCTCTTTTGTCCCCTTTCCCTTTATATAAAGGGACTATACATGCTCTCCGCCAATCCCTAGGTACCTTCTCCTCTTTCATACATTTATTAAACAAAAGTACCAACCACTCCAACACTATATCCCCCCCTGCTTTTAACATTTCTGTCATGATCCCATCAGTTCCAGCTGCTTTACCCCCTTTCATTCTCCGTAATGCCTCACGTACCTCCCCCACACTTACATTCTGCTCTTCTTCACTCCTAAAAGATGGTATACCTCCCTGGCCAGTGCATGAAATTACCGCCTCCCTTTCTTCCTCAACATTTAAAAGTTCCTCGAAATATTCTCGCCTACCTAATACCTCCCTCGCCCCATCTACTAACTCCCCTACTCTGTTTTTAAATGACAAATCCATACTTTCCCTAGGCTTTCTTAACTTGTTTAACTCCAATTTTTTTCTTATTTTCATTAAAATTTCTTGACAGTGCCTCTCCCACTCTATCATCTGCTCTCCTTTTGCACTCTCTCACCACTCTCTTCACCTTTCTTTTACTCTCCATATACTCTGCTCTTCTTATAACACTTCTGCTTTGTAAAAACCTCTCATAAGCTACCTTTTTCTCTTTTATCACACCCTTTACTTCATCATTCCACCAATCACTCCTCTTTCCTCCTGCCCCCACCCTCCTATAACCACAAACTTCTGCCCACATTCTAATACTGCATTTTTAAAACTATTCCAACCCTCTTCAACCCCCCCACTACTCATCTTTGCACTAGCCCACCTTTCTGCCAATAGTCGCTTGTATCTCACCCGAACTTCCTCCTCCCTTAGTTTATACACTTTCACCTCCCTCTTACTTGTTGTTGCCACCTTCCTCTTTTCCCATCTACCTCTTACTCTAACTGTAGCTACAACTAAATAATGATCCGATATATCATTTGCCCCTCTATGAACATGTACATCCTGGAGCCTACCCATCAACCTTTTATCCACCAATACATAATCTAAGAAACTACTTTCATTACGTGCTACATCATACCTTGTATATTTATTTATCCTCTTTTTCATAAAATATGTATTACTTATTACCAAATCTCTTTTTACACATAGCTCAATTAAAGGCTTCCCATTTACATTTACCCCTGGCACCCCAAATTTACCTACTACTCCCTCCATAACATTTTTACCACTTTAGCATTGAAATCCCCAACCACCATTACTCTCACACTTGATTCAAAACTCCCACGCATTCACTCAACATTTCCAAATCTCTTCTCCTCTACACTTCTCTCTTCTCCAGGTGCATACACACTTACTATAACCCACTTTTCACATCCTATCTTTATTTTACTCCACATAATCCTTGAATTAATACATTTATAGCCCCTCTTTTCTGCCATAGCTTATCCTTCAACATTATTGCTACTCTTTCTTTAGCTCTAACTCTATTTGAAACCCTGACCTAATCCCATTTATTCTCTCCATTGAAACTCTCCCACCCCCTTCAGCTTTGTTTCACTTAAAGCCAGGACATCCAGCTTCTTCTCATTCATAACATCCACAATCATCTCTTTCTTATCATTTGCACAACATCCACGCACATTCAGACTTCCCACTTTGACAGTTTTCTTCTTATTCTTTTTAGTAATCTTTACAGGAAAAGGGGTTACTAGCCCATTGTTCCCGGCATTTTAGTTGACTTTTACAACACGCATGGCTTACGGAGGAAAGATTGTTATTCCACTCCCCCATGGATATAAAAGGAAAAGTAATAAGACCAAGAACTATTAAGATAAAATCAAAGAAAACTCAGATGAGTGTGTATAAATGAATGTGTACATGTATGTGTAGTGTGACCTAAGTGTAAGTAGAAGTAGCAAGACATACCTGTAATCTTGCATATTATGAGACAGACAAAAGACACCACCAATCCTACCATCATGTAAAACAATTACAGGCTTTCGTTTTACACTCACTTGGCAGGACGGTAGTACCTCCCTGGGTGGTTGCTGTCTACCAACCTACTACCTATAAATATTACATAAAATATTAGATCAAAAAAATATTTGTCAAATCAAATTTTTGCTAAAGCTTCTTGACTTTCGTTGTATTTTTATATATTTAGATCTTCGATGTCTTTCCTTGTTGACTATTTTAGCGATTGGTTGCACAACTAGAAACGTTGCACTTGTGGTTCTCTTTAAAAGACCGCCAAACTTTTCCATGGTTATACATTAGGTAATGGATGAGTCACCACAGTTGATGGATGACAGACAGGTATGTGACCACTTGATTTTTGTCAGAATGAGGAGGTACTTGTACCTCTTCCCATGGGAGACATGCGTCTCAGACACTCCCAAGACAGGGAGCCAAGGCCGGGTCACCATCTGGAAAAGACCCGGGCCGGGAGAGTACCGGCGAATCTAGGAGAGGAGTAGCTTGTGCATCTGTCTTCTTCACCAATGTGAAGATATATCCACCTCTCCGTATATATACACTGAGCCAATGTACCCACTTTGTGCAGGTACAGGACTGTAAAACAGCTTCTGAAAAAATATGGCGGTTTAATCAAATTCATGATGCCACGAAGAGTCAGAGGTCATCGTGGGTATGGCTTTGCAATTTTTAAAAATAAAGATTACGAAAAACGAGCTCTGATGCTGGCCGGCCATGTGTTGACTGGTCCAAGAGGCGAGACCCCACAGAAAATAGATGTTAAGCCAGCCTACAAGCAAATATTCCATAATGATGCAAAACCCAAGTAAAACAACCAATCCAGAATGCACAACACCATGGACAACCACAAATTCACCAGTAATAAGAAAAATGTTTTAAAACATTATAATAATAAAGGGTTTTGGGTAGTGTAGAACACCTTTGCTGCTCCCTCCAAGACCAGGCCTCCCAGCTACCAAGTTCCTGCTCCCTTCAAGACCAGGCCTCCCAGCTACCAAGTTCCTGCTCCCTTCAAGACCAGGCCTCCCAGCTACCAAGTTCCTGCTCCCTTCAAGACCAGGCCTCCCAGCTACCAAGTTCCTGCTCCCTTCAAGACCAGGCCTCCCAGCTACCAAGTTCCTGCTCCCTCCAAGACCAGGCCTCCCAGCTACCAAGTTCCTGCTCCCTCCAAGACCAGGCCTCCCAGCTACCAAGTTCCTGCTCCCTCGCCACTTAGCTACCATCCCTCTCTAGGCCTCCCAGCTACCAAGTTTCCTGCTCCCTCTCAAGACCAGGCCTCCCAGCTACCAAGTTCCTGCTCCCTTCATGACCAGGCCTCCCAGCTAACCAAGTTTCTGCTCCCTTCAAGACCAGGCATCCCAGCTAACCAAGTTTCTGCTCCCTTCAAGACCAGGCCTCCCAGCTAACCAAGTTTCTGCTCCCTTCAAGACCAGGCCTCCCAGCTACCAAGTTCCTGCTCCCTTCAAGACCGGACCTCCCAGCTACCAAGATCAAAGTCAACATCAAAGTCACAAGTCCCATAGAGGTTTAGTTGAGTCATAGGATCTTATACCCTTTCAGTCAAGTCTTTTTTGTTGGTCAAAAATGTTTTTTATTTTTCGAAAAAGAGCTTTAAACTCGTAAGAGTTATAAGAGGACATTTAGTGATTTTATTATTATTATTTTTATTATTATTAATATTATTATTTGTACGTGTAATTATATAAACACTAAGACTTGTGCATCTCCCAGTGTCACCATATATATCACCATCACTACATCTTTCACTATCACTCTTCATCCCATATATCACCATCACTATACATCTTTCACTATCACTATTCACTACATCTATCACCATCACTGTTCACAATGTCTATCACCATCATTATGCATCTTTCACTATCACTATTTATCACATACATCATCACTATACACAAGGACAGAACAACAACATTCGAGGGTCAGTATATTTCTCATGTATTTTATTTTGACCATTATTGTGGCTGGAGATATAAATTATTCTCTTCTTTTCTAGTTTCCATTAAAAAGAAATACTTAAATATGTAATAAATATAATATATCCGCTGTAAATGTCATGGTTAATTTATGTTTTTTTAATGTTGCTACCAATATCTAAATCATACATCGATTTAGATATTTGTATATAGCATGTAATTATACAGGTGGTTCTGCTTATATAGAAGTGTGAACAATTTACTTAAAAGCCTGAGTATAACGCGAGATTTTCACAATATGATGAAAGCAAGTAATTATGGAGTATTCAAGACCGGTCCAGCGACTTCACATACCCGAGAGCACCACCTAGGCCACAGCTGTACAAAATCTTATAAACCTCAACGTGTTCTTAGACTCGGAATTGCGAAGGCTCTAATTGTTGTTCAAGTCATATTTAACAGAATAGTAAGTGGGTAAGTAAGTTTATTTAGGTACAGGTCCACATAAGTAAAATTATGGTACATGGTAACATGTGTAAATTACCTAACACAAAAGTGTCGGGGACCGACAACGCAAGACCTTCAAAACTTTGCTGCTTATATGTGCATCACTTCTATTAAATAATAATTATACACTGTCTTTCGTTATGCCGTGTTTACACACAAGTGGGAGGAAGTAATAATGTGTTGAATTGTCCACAGGTGGTGCTGGTGTTCATCTTAAGTATCGCCTCTCTGGTCATCTACTTCATCGATGCATCAAAGTAAGTATGCCTCACCCGAGGCCTAGTATAACACCTTCCTTATTGATTCCTTCATTAACACCTTTTGTCCCAATACAGTGTAGTTTTTGTGTGGCCCAGTGTCCTGCCACTTGTGGAAATTTACAGATTATCATTTGATTGTTTTCGTTGGCTGATAACAGTGAAGCCATCAATAATATACTGTAGTTCATGAAAAAGAGCGAGTTCTTTCATAAGTAATTTTCGTTCCTAAGTCAGTTTTCTATTATAAGTAGATTTTCTATTTAATTCATCGATTTTTATCCATATTTATATGAGACTGATTTTGAGAGTGAGGTAAACGCATCACATTCTCAGAATTAGTCCTCCATTAAGTGGTAGGGCAGAAGTAATACCACCAGTGAGTTGGGTTCAAGTCCTCCTATAATTTCACTTTAATTTAAAGTCATTAAGACATCCCTGTCTTAACAGTTAGTAATTTGCAATTCGTAATTTGTCATGTTGTGGTTAGAAACCTTTTATGCAAGTCGGTCACGTATTAATTTCGCTATAAACTCAATGAGACTATCTTTTCTGTATATAGATATTTCATACTAATAAGATACAGCTTATAATTTATGAATTTGTGGCTTCAGATTATATATTATATAAATATATATATATATATTATATATATAATATATATATATATATATATATATATAATATATATATATATTATATATTATATATATATATATATATATATATATATAATATATATATATATATATATATAAAATATATATATATATATATATATATATATATATATATATATATATATATATATATATATATATATATGTGTGTTGTGTGTGTAAACATAGTTTCTCGATGAAAAAGTATTAGAAAATATGACGAATTGTTCTCATATTTTAAGGTGAAAGCCAAATAAAAATGTCAATGTTACAAATAGGCTTTTGTCAATTACATGAAGGTACGGGTGTGCTGCCACCTGTTGACATCAGTGGTCCGCCCATAGGTTTTGGAATGACTCACCAGCTTGTAGCTGCCCTTCCCTTGCTCACCTCTGGTTACTCTGGCCAAACCCAGTGCTTTATTCATTTTTTACAAACAGCTTTTACTGGAAGGAATGGGAGCCCTTGTGGCAGCTGCTGCACATCAATGGTCTTTCCTACTGGTAGTGGTACCACCCTTGTACTAATCCCCGTTTCTCTCCATGTGTCATTTATAATGCCTTCAGAAACTTGATTACCCTTAACCCATTTATCCCCTGTGTGTCCCATACCCCTTCAACACTGGTAACATTTAGTGTCCAACTACAATATTACTCCCTAAATCGTTCCCTCATGTTGATGTTACAATCTATCAGTTAAATGAGTGGCTGTCTATGAGCCTTAGACAGTGATATTTCTACCCTCATTCCTCGATGCCATTGCTTGTTCCTTCACACTCACCTTCTAGTTTAACTGTTAATCCTCACCTGTTGTTCTGTATGTCGGAGAGTCCCAATGAGGAAACTATTTTTATCTTTATAATTATGTATATGAACTTTAGAAGTTGCAAGAACTTTGCTAGTTTTCCCTTCCCAAAGTCTGGTCAACGGATGTAACGCAGCAGCTGCTCTTGTGTGGGTGAGGTAAGGGAAGGGCAAATTAGAATATTTGTGTAGCTACAGTGCATGCTGACCCAGTCTCGACCTCCCAGCCCTCCGTGTTTCTTGGCTTCTGCCGTCCCTCCTCCTTTTAAACTTCATGACTTCCATCCAGGACTTCATGTGTTGGAGAGTGCAGTCGGTTGATACCTCATGCCTGCTGTAAATCAAACTTATAAACCTCCTTTTTTGCGTTAACTATTTCAGTGTTCGCGAGGTGGACAGCCCAGCTGCTTACTTTCCCATGTCTCTTCTTAACGATCTTATTATTTTACCTTGCCCTCTAATTTCTCCCTTTACCCAACACTAAAAACAAAATAATTCTCTCTCCATTCATTCTTATAAGGTGTGATCACCATGTATGTTTCTGTGCCCTTCACGCCACACGACTAATCACTCTACCACTTAGCTGTTTGCTACAGAATTCTACCGTATTTCCCAAAACTCTCCCTGATAGCAGTACATGAAGAGTCTGTCCGGGAACGCTGCTCACCCAGTCTGCTACTCCTGCCTTACCCTGATGGGGTAAGGGAATTGAACCTATCCTCCCTTTCCTTGGATCAAACCAAATTGGCTCCCCTTCCCCCAAATATTGTATAATCTCCACTAGCTATTAGCGCTTTCCATTAATGTAATAATAATAATAATAATAATAATAATAATAAAAATAATAATAATAATAATAATAATAATAATAATAATAATCTTGTCCTCTTTATCATGACCAGAAATTGTCGACATCCCTGGCGTAATGTAATAGTAAACAGATGCTTGTCACAGGTTTCCTTATTTGTTTAAACTACATCTAATTTAATTGTAATACTTTTTCCATAAATTCATGTACTGGAGGAGCAGAGGAAGCCAGAGAAATAATGGCAGCATAAATGAAGTTTCTTATTAATGGAGCAGCCACTAATCACCTCACCATAACGTAGCATTTCAGCTCTTTGTTTTAGATACACAGACCAGAAAATAGAGCGTGCGATGAGCTGTGCTCGCCAATCCTTAATAGAAATATAAAGAAAAATATGAATAATTAGTAATAATAATAATAATAATAGTAATAATAACGAATCTGATTGTTAAATTCAGATTTTTAGATATCATTGTCATTTCAAAGATTTGATGTTGACTGCAATCAAGAAATATTTCACTTTGAAAATCGTATTTTACTCTATACACCTTAAATGGTCTTGACAACTTCATTAATTCTGATGAGGATATTTCTTTTGATGCGTGTGCACAAAGAGCATCAGTGTGTGCAAGCGTGAAGGGGTATATATCTCATCTTAGAGTTCACTTTATTCTTAAATCCCAAATAGTATTTTCGATTGGTGGTGAACAGGCAGCCTTAATGATCCTGGTGTGTCAATAGATTTTGTACCCAATTAACCAGCCAGTCCAACCAATTTTATTAATAAGTATACTTATAAGTCTTCATTATCATCTCATAATATGCTCTACAAGGTTTACCACGTACGTACAGTTTGCTCTACAATACACATCATTGTACTGATATAAAAATAGAAGCGGCAACCTATATAAACAATTTGTTCGATATTACGCCAGATTTAGTAAGATTAGGCGCTAGGTTAGTTTTGACGGGAAAATTTTGCATAATTTTAGTTAGTTGTGCTTTCCCTTGGAATACAGGAGTGAATCTTCAAGGAATCCAAGTGAATAAACTCATATGATTTGAGAACAAAATCTTCACTGGATATATTCCCTAACAATTGACTCATCAACGGAGACAAATCTAAGCGCCATAGTCATTACTGGGTATAATACCCAGCACCAGACTCATCACTGGGTATAATGCCCAGCACCAGACTCATCACTAGGTATAATTCCTAGCGCTTGCCTCACCGTCACTCTTTTTTGTACCCAGCACTTGACTCTGAACAAGACATAACCAAACAATACATAAGAGGTACTCTCCCCTTCCCTCACTTTGCTCAGGAAAACAATGCGATGCAATCTCCTCTAGGCATTGGCGAAGCGTTCAGTGTAAATTCTTGTCGCCGCTGGTGTTGGCCGCTACCTGTAGTGAATGTTGCCTTCAAAGCAACGGCGTCCTACAGGAGCAACGTTTTCTGGGGATGAAAAGTTCACGACGCCGCATTCGATGAACTGTATACCTTAATCTGGGATATCATGAGCTTTTGGTGTTCTAAATTATTTTAATATTATTATATGGTGCTACTTTGGCTTGTTATCTACAAAGAAAATGATATCTACACGTACATTGCGATCTACATCTTACATTGCAATCAACACGGTACCTAACCTAGGTGAAGTTAGGTTAAGTTAGGTTAGGTACCGTGTTGATTGCAATATAAGGTGTAGATCGCATAACAAAGTAGATTCATGATACGTAGATTGCAATGTAAGTGTAGATATCATCCCAAAGTAGATTCATGATACATAGATAACAAGCCAAAGTAGCACCATATATATATATATATATATATATATATATATATATATATATATATATATATATATATATATTATATATATATATATATATTATATACTTGTTATGCATGTGTAGTGTGACCTAAGTGTAAGTAGAAGTAGCAAGACATACCTAAAACCTTGCATGTTTATGAGAAAAAAAAAAGCACCAGCAATCCTACATCATGTACAACAATTACAGGCTTTCGTTTTACTCACTTGGCAGGACGGTAGTACCTCCCTGGGCGGTTGCTGTCTACCAACCTACTACCTGGGAATATTATTATTATTTTAATATTTTATTAATATTATTATTATTCTATTCACACACACACACACACACACGTACGTACCTACCTACCTACCTACCTACCTACCTACCTACCTACCTACCTACCTACCTACCTACCTACCTACCTACCTACCTACCTACCTACCTCCTTTCCAGAAATAAAATAACCTCAGGGTGAGCATAGTTCCGACCATAGAGCTCTAGGCAGATATTAACCGAATAGTCCCTCAACAAATGTGAGACTGGCAAATTCAAGGTTATCTTTCAGAAACCTCAAGAAGGCGTCATCATGATACTATATACGGCTTTTGTCAGGTCCATCGAGTGTGCAACACCAGCATGGAAATCACATTTGATAAAATATGTTTGGAAACTAGACAAAGTGCAAAGTTTTGCAGCGAGACTAGTCATCGCAATGCTTAGAGGTATAAGCTGTGAGAGGCTAAAAGAGCCAGACCTGATGACATTAGAGAAGTTATGAATGAGAAGAATTAGATTTGAAGATCTGTCTGTCATGGGTCAGTAGACTTGCTGCAGTTCTCAATTCCTTTGGTCTACCACTAGTGGGCCCCGCCTCCTGTGATGCCATCCCCTCTTAACATTATTTCTGGCAGC